TGTTTGTTATGAATTGCATAACTGTGTCTAAACAGTTCACTTGTTAGAATTAGGGTTTAAATAGCTTAAGGGGATTAAACCCAACTATAGGATTACTAGTTGTGATATTCATTGATATGATGATTCTTAATGCTTATGTTCTAGACTTGCTAACTAAAAACTTGATCCTAGGATTGTTAAGTTGTTTAACACTGTTGAATAACTCCAATAGTCTAGAATACATCCTGATTAAACTAGGACTTCACTAGAAATAAAGCGAAATTTTGATTTAGGATCCTAGTGAGTCTTTTGTTAACTCGTGTGTAATGTTTGAGTGGATTCATCGATCAATATTTCGATACAATCCATCCAGAGCCGGGCATGTGTTAATGGTGGCCCTAGGGCTGGGACTTATTATCCGAGATTCGGATCAGATCCGAGATCCGTTCCGGATCCACTCTGAAAATAGGATATCCGGGATGCCCGGATCCGAATCCGGATAGTAAAGTCTTGGACCCGTCCAAACCGGATCTGAATCCGGATATCTTAATTTTTAGGTCTGGATATATGGATCCGTGTTTTTAAATTATAATAAATTTTAATAATAATTATATTAATATTTAAACATATAATTAATCTTATAATTTTATATTTTACTTTTAATAATATTATATGTCATATATGTATTCATAAACTTGGTATAAATATATAATTTGTCTATTATTTTTAAATTTATGTATTTTTAAATTTATATTTTTTAAATAATTTTTATTTATTTTTAAATATTTTTGATTTATTTTTAATTATTTTCATGAATCCGGATCCGAATCCGGATATTCGTGGATATTACAACTTCTAGATAGATATCCGAGATCCATATACCCGGACGGTCCGAATCCGTATCCGAATACTAAAATCACGGATTCGACAAAATCCGGATCCGGATCCGGATACTCCAAAATTCTCGGATATCCGGATCCGTCCCAGTCCTAGGTGGTCCCATTCCTAAACAACTCACTAAAATATTTTTTTTGTTGTAATATGAATTACATATGAAAAACTACACCCATTTCTATCACATAAATTATTTATTTTTTTGTAAAAATTATTTGTGTATTATATATAAATCTTATACTATAAAGAAGATTTTTCAAAGAAGACTTTTCTCTCTTCTTAGAGAGTCATGTAACTAATTACTCTATTCCAAGCAAGACATGTGTCTAATTTTGTTCATTGGGCTTCTATTTTGTACTTTACGGGTATAGTTTAATGGGCTTGGGTTGTTCTTTAAGTGTGTTGATGAAATCAGTATTGAATCCCTATAATCACACAGTCATCGTCTACAAGAATGGCGAGCTTCCATATCTAAGGTTCATGTTATTTAACTTCTGATTCTTAAGTAGACATGGACTTTTGGGAAGTTGATGGTAGATGCAAATTTTCGCCTATCTCTGGTGCAAGCTGCCATTCATGTCGATTCGTCTGGATTTCTTTTAACTGGGGGAAACGGAATCGTTACGAGCTGTATTCAATCGTTACCACTAATAGCCTTCTTAACTTTTTCTTCTCACTCCTTTCGTGATTCTTCAATCAATGCATCTCCCCCTTTTTCCAACTATAAAAAGATGAGTCTTGAACCCGTGAGCATCATCCTTTCATCTTCACAACCCTAAAAACTTTCTTTGAAGAGAATGGTGGACTCCTCTATCCTCCTTGCTAACTTGAAATCCGGTTTCTGTAGCACTACCTTCGAAATCTGTCTGCTAAGATTTTGGGAGGCCATGACTGTGAAAAGATGTGCCGAGCTTATGCGCGAGAGAAGCTGAGAAACGATAATTACCTTCACGATGGTGGCAGCAATGACTGTGGTCAGAGAAGATGACCAGAGGTTACGATTTTAACCGAAGTGGCATTCAATTCTCACGATCAAGAAGAAATCAAGAGGATTAGGTTCTGAACAGAACATATATAGGTAAGAAAGAAGAAAAAAAGAGATGTTCATGACTCTCATTGGAAGAGACTTAGCTTGATGGTCCAAGCTCACCAAAAAAAAAGAAATTGGAAACTGAGGTATCTATCTCTGGTTTGGTTGGTTAGACTGTTGCTCTGAAAGAAGTCGACATGACTTATAAGGTGGGGATTGACTGTGAGTCAAAACCAGAAGGAGAATTCAATTAGAGTCAGGAATCTCTCTCATGATATCCTTTTTTGTAACTGCTCTCTCTAGCTCTCTGAACAGAAGATGTATGTGCTTTTCTCAGAGATAAAATCATCGGGCGAATACAAACTGACGACTGGAGGCACATCAGAATCGAGTATTTTTTACTATCCGGGGCTCTAAAGACACGACAGCAAAGTCTCCACGGAGTCACTGAGATTAACATCACAGCAAAATCAGATAAGGTATGATAAGCTTAATATATTCCTCTTATTCTCTTTCATTGAAAATCTCACAGTGATTATAATTGCAAACTCATGTTTACTACTCGCCAATTTGAAGGCTGGCCGTTGGAGCTCTACTATCTAAGTGTGTTCTCTTGAAAACAGGAAAACGTAACATAACAATACAGCTACTTCTACCATATGCACTTATGGACGTCAGAAGTTTTAGTCTTTGAATTGCCATTGCAAAGAATAAAAGTTTTTATTGGAGGAACTGCAATTGCAAGAGGTCAGGAGGCGTTGTGTTGTTGGGTTTTCAGCAAAAAATGACAGGCATTGTAAGATCCTATGTCGCGTGCAAGTTTATGTTGAAGTGTTGAGATGGCCAAAACGTCAGCCGTGAAGAAGACTGTGCTGTGAAGGTTGTTTACGTTAGAACATCGTCAACGACCGAATGTTTTGGAGTTGAGTGCGATTTTGAAGCTATTGTGGTGAGAAGATTATTTACATGTCTAACAGGCTCCAGTCTCCCTCTTGCTCACTTTGTCACTCTATTTCAAACTCGCCAGCAAATTTTAAATCCCATGTCTAAAATTTGCTACCAAAGTAAACAGATATTAAAATTGGTTTTTGAAAAAGTAAAACTAAACCAAGAGAAATAAAATGGAAATTGGTCCTACAAAGTGCTCTCTTCCACTTTTACGTAACTATATTTAATCTATGTGATTATGTTTTTATTGATCTCTACTATGAATTTTGTGTAATAGA